AACTGCTTGTTTCATTGATGATTTCGGCTAAGAGAGTTCATTTTAGGCCAAACACGTTTACCAAGAGGAAATGTCTCCTACTGCTATGCCTACTGTATACTTTGGAATCAGACTGGAACATAGCAAAGAACATGGTTTGAGCCTGGGACTAGTTTTCCTACCTCTGATTCAGTGATGGAGGATCAGATAAAATAATCTGCAATCATTTTGTTGAAACGAATATGAGTGTCACTTGGCACAGATAAATGGACATGGACAGTGCGTTTCTAGACTTCTGACTACTCAAAGCACTTTTACACTACGCGTTACATGCATTTTGGGGTACAGTGTCTTGCCCGATGACACTTCAACATGTGACTACAGGAGCTGGGTATGGAACGACTGAAACAACCGACTCTACCACTGAGCCAATAACACTCCAAGGCTGATGCATCTTTTTTTTAATTGGTAGTTATTTCAAATCAACCAAAGAGCACAATAATAATAAATGGATTTCCAATCAGATAAAGTTTGTGTTGAACAACGGGTAATCAGTAAATATGAAAACAAACATGAAAGGTTTGATCACTTCTAATGATGAAATTAAGGTCAAGGTTTGTTGGACAAGGACAAGGAAGTCTTGGCTGGAGGTCATTTAACGCTAACCGCTGGCATCACTGGAATTATGAAGTAGTTAGAATCTGTTCCCAGAGGCATACAGTATATTATCTATCAGACAATGATAGATAACGATTGCTGATCGGATCTGAGATTTGTACATTTTTTAATTGTGTCCCACTCAACAAAACTGCAGAAAAAAATGTTATGACACTGAATCTGAAATAGTACATTAAGGGATAGTTTACGACAATTTCTGGTGCTATAATCCTTGTGAGAAATGTATTTCTTACTCTGAGTCACAAAAAAAATATTCCTCTCCAGTCAGAAAGTATAAATGAGAGAACAATGTAATAGCCCTGTGTTGCATTTTGTGCACTGTACAAATGTATCACTGCTTTTGAGGCTAAGTGCAGGCGACAGCGCCCTTAAGCAGCCTCTCCTTGCTTCTTTTTTTGTTTTGTATTTAACCAGCCAGTGGAGTTCAGACTTACTTCTTCAGGTCACGTAAGAGGGAGACAAGCCACCAGCAGCCGGTGGCTTGTCTGTTTCCTTACAACCTTTTCCTCAGTGAGTGAAATTTCTTACAATTTACAACTTTTACCGAGGAGACACGCTGTGTGTTAGATAAGCTGCCTGTTCTTGAAGGCAAGATATGGGTCATAAGAAATTCCACATGTCAGCTCAGGCTGGTTGGAGGCAGTGGAGCGGCAGTAAGCGAGTGGTACAGGGAGTTATAATTGGACTGAATGGTATACAGCGGGGGCTGCTGGTAGTAACGTGTCTTTAGCCATGTGTTGTTTTGCAAAGTACTGATAGAGTTGTGAATGAACTTTTGAACTCATCGGAGAGCAGCTGGCGAAATGAGAGGATGAACACATTGTTGTTAAGAATATTGGATAGGAGCTGTGCTGTCCCTGTGCGGGTGGATGTCTGGTTTAAAGCAGAAACTGGAAAGAAAAATAAACAACAAACCATTAGGACCCCTTTGTGAATGAAGTCTGTGAAGCTTGGGGAAGGAGCATGTGGTTAGTATCTGTTATGATAAAACTGCTACCAGTGCATCATCTAGCTGTCCTGTTTTTATGTTTATTACGATCCTATAAATAATATCACAATACTAAATATTCTGTAAGGATCACATTCATTCTAAATCTTCATCAATTATGTATATTTCAGTGTGGAGTTAGATTCATCAAGGCACAGTACTATTGATGTGAAGCCTTGCACTCGGGCAGTAACTGTGAAACACTTAAATGGATTATATTTTCCAAAATTCTAACTTGTGTACAACAAGGGGAAACTCAATGAGGTGTTTTACTCAAAGAGTGACAATGTTATAATGTGGCTCTTATACATGGTGGGTCAGGTCTTTTTAGTAGTATACAATATTTCCATTAATTTGTTGTAGTGGAGAATCTTTGAGTGTATGTTCATCCCAGAGGTCAAGCTATTTCTGCTTCCAAGGGAACAAGAACCTGTTTTATTAATTTATCTTCTGACTGAATATTTGTCAAGTGTAATTCAAAATATATTGTTTTATTAATTCTTTAGCATTTTACCTTTATTTTGATAGAAACATCTGATAGAGAAGAACATTGGGAGAGAGAGAGGGGAATGAGATGCAGGAAAGGGGCCGCAGGTCGGACTTGGACCTGGGCCGTCTGCTAGGAGGACTATAGCCTCTCTACAGGGGGTACGCTCATGATGTCATGATGCTAAAATAATAAAACCCTGTTATGGTAATACTGAACATTAGTATCCATCCATGTTTTAACAAAACATGTGTGTTGCATGTGTTCAAACCTGTTTAACTTCATATAAACAGTAGAGACACATCCAAACTACCACATACACGTACCTTCTCATTTGTATATGGTTGTATTTTAGATTTCTGATTCATATTGGTTTTTGTATTGTTATTTTGTGTTATGTGTATTTTACCGTATCTTTGTTTACATAGTCTTAAAGTAACGATACATTTGGTCTGGTGTGCGCCCACCGAAGGTCTCTGTGTGCAACTGCACTGTCGTAACATACATAACATACTGTAACTCCTCACCCTCTTAGACAACATCTATTTTTCATTGTCTTAAACAGATGCAGGTCCAAAGCCGGAAAAGCTGTGTGAGAAGCCAAACAATCATGTCTGCTGACAAGGTACAGTCATATTAACTTTCTTTCTTTCTTTTTACAAATGTGACTGAAAGTCTGTCGTTTGCAAACTGTTTGCATGTGGAGTATTTGTATTCAACTGTTGCCATGGTATCTATGGGCTGTGGCTAAATGGCTACAGTGGAGAGAGTAATTAATTACATGCTAGTGGAGATAGGTTTGTAAGATTTTGGCATAAGATGGATTCATTTATTTAACTGTATGCAAACCTGAGATACATAACGTCTTAATACAACACATGGCTCGACGTAATTATGAAGTGTGCTTAGTTTACAAGACAGGCCGACTTGAAAATCAAAAAATCTAATCAAAATGCGCAGCTGAGTCCGCGTCCGCAAATCGGAGAACAACACCGAGAACATGACAGCTACTTCACTGAATTTGTGGCTTGTTTTGAGTCATTTTAGTCAGATACAGCCTTAACACTCCAGGATTTCTCCATAATGAAGGCTGTCAGTGTTGTGTGCTTGTGCTCTTGCATGAACTGTACTGTGCCGTAGCACCCATCTTCCAAGCCTGCCAGGGCCAAAGAAGTGTACCTAGGAGCACTCACACTAATCAAACAAACTGGAATTCAGGGCTGAAGCGTGCTTGGAACACTGTACAGATTGCGTAGTGTGTGTGTGCCCTAAAAGTCCTTCTTATAGTTCACATTGTAATGGATACAAAGATGAACTTAACCCTGATCTTGTCTGTTAAAATACCTGTTGGAGAATGATGAAAGTATGAGCTACTAATATTTACCATGACATATAGAACTCAGATGAAGTTTAAAGAAGTACTTATAAAACACTGAGCAGTCGTAGTGATCATTTTAACCCTCCTATTAACAAATGGTTCAGTAGTGGGACAGTATAGATATACGTTCAGTAATATGAATAGATCAGGTTCCTCTTAATGACATTTTTCTGAGTACTTTCTGCAACCTGCTTACTACAAAGAGGATCTGGGGACCTGAGAAACATGAAATCTTGTTTGTTCCACTTGACACATACTGTGGGGCCTCTTTGCCAATATAACAGATGTTTTTCATTACAACGCCCCGTACAGCTACCACAGTGTCAATTCAGCAACAAGAAACAGTTACACTGTGTTCCTGACTCTTTGGCAGATTGACCTTGAGAGACTTTTTTTTTTTCTACTTCCAGATTTGCTATGGTGTAGTACCTACAATATGTTGAGTTTTAATGATTTATCGATATATTTTAAAACATGATCTAGGGTAAGACTAAATCTTTTATATCCATAAGTTTATGTTGCATTAAAATACTTGTATGCGTTTCTTCTGTATAGCTGCTAGTATACCCTTTTCTCTTCTCACTGACTGTCCCCCTTCACCCTGCGCCGCCTCTTTCCCTCTCTACTGAAAGTCCACTGATAACCGCCTGCAAAATATACAGCTGTATTTTTTTTGTTATGCAGGAAAGGAACATACTTTTTTATTTGTTTTATTTTATTCGAGGAGCATTATTATTTAAGATTATTTTGTATTTCACAAACAGGTAGTTTATATATTTTTGCAAGTTTGGGGGCCATTTTCTTAGTGCCTTTTTTGGTAGGATAGCTGAAGAGAGACAGGAAATGTTTGGAGGAGAGATGGGGGGGATGAGCTGCAGCAAAAGGGCTGAGGTTGGATTCGAACCCACGCCGCTGCGATAAGGAGTTTAGCCTTTATATATGGGGCGTATGACATAACCGCTAGGCAATCACTGTCCTGAGGTAGTTAGTTTTAAAGATTTGAATTAGGGATTTTATTGGCTTTATTTTTTAGAGAGAGGATGGTGGATTGAGAAGAAACCAGAGGGAGGGAGGGGGAGAGAGAGAGAGAGAGAGAGAGAGAGAGAGAGAGAGAGAGAGAGAGAGAGAGAGAGAGAGAGAGAGAGAGAGAGAGAGAGAGAGCCACAGGTTAGATCCAAACAAAAGATCTAATAAAAGTGCTTGTGTGGCATTTGGCCTATGTGGATTTGACTCAGAACCGACTTTGATTTTATTTCGTTACACAAAAAAAATAAATCAAGATATATATCGCGTAACGCCATTCAGCTTTAAAAAAAAAAAAAAAAATATCGAGATATGATTTTTGGTCTATATCGCCCAGATCTAGACCAATCCAGCCTTACATGAAGTCCAAAGAAGAAGAAAAAAGCCTCAAGGCATAGGGTTGTGCATTTATGTGCAGTACTCTCAGAATCGAGCCAAAAATAAAAATACTAGAGGTGACGAGCTGGTGCTGTGCTAAACTGTATTAGTATTCAGATACACACAAGATAGCAACATTGTCTAATTCAGTCAAAAAATTAAAAAAGAGACATTATATGTAAATATATCTACATATATATATATATATATGTTTGTTTTTACACATCCAGAGAATAAAACACAACCAGTTACATTCAGACAGCAGTGTGCAGTCAATGTGTCAAGACTACAAAAGTCAATTACAGAACTACATGAACAAAAAACAATTACAGAAATCATCCATAATGTTTTTTGTCATACGTTTCATACACATCACCAAAGTGTTACTAAGACTTCACAAACCCTTTGGAGAAACACATAAAAATATTTCACACCTAAATACACAACTTAAATGGAGTTAATACACGGGGTCATCGTCTCTGGTTTGTGCTGACTGGACTGTAGTGTCATTACTGTTCATGATGCATCACTGCACGGTGAGTGGTGTGGCTTACGGAGACGTCATAATGCTGCATTTGACATCTATCACTTGATGCAATACACAGGTGTGGCAATCATATATGAGAAGAATGAATGGAGACACTGTCCTGCAGATGTGATGCAAAAAACAAACAAACATTGTATGCATGCATCTGCAGCCTCAGTTCATTCGACCTCTTGTTTAATATGAAACATCCCTGTGTCTCCCACTCGAACACTGGCAGCCAAGAATACTTTTCAAGGGTTAAAATAGAATATGGGTTTCTTGAAAACAGATCAATGTACCTGCTCTGTGAAGAATGACGAGCCTTAACGCCTTAAAGCATTCTTAAATGTTTAACAGACTGAAGATGAAATTGAGAGATTTATAAATATTCTAAAACCAGAAAAGCCACTTATTGTAGGTCAGGTTTGAATCATCATGCAAAGATTGGTTGCAAAATACCAATTTTAAACTGTATGTAAGAATTTGCATCAACAGGTTCGAAACCGTTTTTTATACTGAAATACCGGATCTCCAAACCTCTCAATAATCCCTGAAAGTTTGCAGCTAGTGCTGGTTGGGCAGTGGAGCAGGGGAGAAATAAACCTTCTGTGATTCACTCTGAAAGGTAGGACATTTAAATGCTTATATTTCATTGTCTTAATCATATCTTATATATAAAATAAATACATGTGGATGAAATTGAAGAGACATCAACCTTTGACAATGTTATCTCTTGAGGAACAAGAAGAATAATCGCTAGGGTTTCAAGAGACACTAAATATGAACTTCCTCTATTGGATCTCTGCTTTGCTTTTAAATAAAGACAGATAGATTATGGGGGGGAAAAGGACATGTACAATTTGTTTCCAATACTCTTCATTGGTGATGCAGTACAGACAACTTAAAGAGACTTTCAAACACAGGCAAACTAGAAAGGTTGACAGTGACAAATAACATGGGCAGACAAACACAGAAGCTTGTTACAGGCCTTCATTGGCAACCCCAACACATTACCCACCCCTGCCTTTTTCCAACACATCAGTAGAATACATGTCTGTATCAGCCACACACAGTGTCACATACGATTTAAAAGTCAGAGTAGAACATACTCATAAATACTGTAAAGATAAATCATGCACGCACACTCACAAGTTCAACTTGTCCACTTTTCAAAAACTCTAGATTTATAAAAAAATATATTTACATCAGCTGATAGTGACTTATGTTCCCAGCATTGTGGACTGTGTGTTAAAAATGTTCTAAGCTAAGAAGAAGTGGAGAGAGGTTTTGTGTTTAGGTGGATGAAATGAAAGCTGACTATAAGTGCAACGATTTCTGACCAAGAGTAGATATCAGCCTGCTTTAGCTATATGCTTCACAAAGACTTTTTTTGCATGATGAAATCATCACATGTCGACGTGTTCAGACTTCATGTAAAACTGCTGCACTGGCTTTGTTTTCTCACAGCCTTACACTATAGTAAAAAGTGGATGTAGCCACATAGCCGTGATGTCCCTCAATGGTTTTTGGACGGCAGTTTTGGAGCCTCCAGTCTTTCACTGGCTATGTCCATCTTGGTTTGTGGAGGCAGAAGTGACTTTTTTGGATATCTGGGGATAGATAGACTTTGTAACAGTAATAAAACATTTGTTGTCTAAGTGGTGACTTTTCAATCACTGTTGTACTGTAGCATATTTGGCTTTATCTTCTATTTTAACCTTAATGGGACAGAAACTTTTAAATTGTAATCATTTCATGTTGGGCTGGCGATTGAGAGTATAAACTCCTTATGAAAACAAGCCCCCTGCTGGCTATTAGAAATAATGCAGGATTAAGGTTCTTCTGCATTGGCTTCACTCGTGAATCCAAGAGGCTACGTCCACGTCTTATAGACAGTCGTGTGTCGCAGGGGGCTTATTGTTGCTTAAGTAGTTTCCACCTACATACTAGCTTTGCAGCAATCGTTTTGATGCACAACAATATTGACACAAACCAAATAGGGCAGGTTTGTTGAAAATCACCCTTTTTTTATAATTAAATGACATCATTGTGTTTTACTTTTTGTCAGAAATGTCATTGCAGCACAAAGCAATTAATTCACAGCAGATGCAAACGCAAGCCATTTTCAAAGTAACCAATATGGCTTTCTAGGTTTTTCAAGTGGTACACCAGCACACACCCCTTTATATGTAAAACAGCGCTGTTGTCTGTCTGAACGCCTGCTAGTTCTTGTAAAGTGGTTTTATGAGAGTACAGGAGAGGAGTAAGGCTAAATACAGGAGTGAATGGGAATGTGATGCATATATGAACTGATCCAAGTCTTTAACTGTTACATTCAAGTGTAATGAGTCGGTCTATTGGAGTATTTCACTTCACAATGGCTTCTGTGTGATAATACAAATGATGTCCATGTCAGTAAGGATAAGGATCACTTTAAAACTAGTCAAACATTACCTTGATGATATATCCAAATAACATCATATAAAAAAGAAGGCTGAAAGCTTTGATTCTGTCAACCATCTCTGTTATTGCAACACAAACACTGAAACAAACAGAGTACATAGAAAGTTAACATGACGCTGGCATTGAAGCCTGATTTATTCTTCTGAGTCCAGTCGACGCCGTAGCTATTGGTGCGTTCCATTTGATCTCAGAAGTTGGAAATTCCAAGTTGCCGGCCTGGTAAGTCATCAGGACCGCCCCCAATCCAATATAGCTGCAACATGCATCAATAAATCACGTTTAAGCTGTAACTATTGTGTTTATTAGCAACATCTTGGTCTTGTGTAATTAAATCAATCACACCGATAGTACCGTTCAAGTTCTATCTGTAGACATGTTGTCAAGTTATTTTCTTGTGCAAATTATGAACGTAGTGTGTTGTTATAGCCATGTATTAGCTAACACAACAAAAGGTACTGCTGGAGGCGTCCATGTTGCTTGTCCGACTTGCAACTGGAATAATGCAAGATTGAGGTTAACTCGGGTGTGACGTCATTTTCAGCTGTGAGATGAGAGTTCCAATGTAAACTGAACGCACCATTTGCCGTAGAAGCCAACGTGGCCATGAGCACGCCATACCTTGGTGTGTCTGTGTCACTCAGCCTACAGACGTTGGTGTGCAGTGCGATTTCTATGGTGGTTTTTATCACCAGTTTCCATTTAGGCCATGTTCTCTGCTTTTTTGTGAACATGAAACCATGGCTACTGAAACCTTGTTAAGCCACTGATGACAACAAGTAGATTTGACAAATTGGTTCGTACACATGAGAACACACAATAAGCCTGTAGCCAATCGCAGGGCTCGTAGTTAACTTTTTCAGGAGGTGCACGTCAGGCTGCGGTGTAGATTCCACACAGAAGTAAAAATGAAGCTTAAGTCCTATCAGTATTAATTAACTACTTTTGGAAAATGTAGCATGTCAACTTTAATAAATACTGTGTGGTATTTATTTACTTATTTATTTGATAAACAATATGTTCAGATAAATTAAGTTTACATGTAAAAGATACAAAATAACTCTGATATAATATAATGCACCAGATAGATGACCAATCTCTGTTCTGATTCATCATGAGAAAATAAAAATGCGACAGGTAGGGATGTCTAAGTATGGCACTAAATATGTAAAAACAATTTACAGTGTAACCAAAGGCTTTTTGTGCACAGCATGACGCCAAAAAGACAGTCAAGCAGTAAATATTCGTCCATATAAAAACAATTTCGTCAGGCAGAAATATATTGTGGTTTTCCAAATGCATCTCAGTCCAAGTCAAGCAGCTCAGTTGCAAATTGTAGACGAACACAGCGCAAGAATAGTTGTATCAAGCTCACCGTACAGTTATGTTCCAAATGTGACAGAGAGGTGAGAATGTCCTTCAGGTAGTTGAGAGCATAGGTGCAAAATCCTTTTCCTGCATGGCTGCCACTGACAATTCATCTACAGGTCCGAACATGCTGCAGTCTTTAAGGGACGATGGTTTGGAAAGTTCTTGGTTGGGGTGTGGTCGTCAGGCGAAGGGACTGTCTGACTTTAACATGGGGGTGTCTGTGTCGAAGCAGCCCTTTCCGTTCATGTGTTCTGAGTGGCCGTCGATGCTGTAGCAGCCCTGCACCTCTGTGATGGAGGACGCTGTGTAGGAGGCTGAACGCATGGCGTCTGAGTGGTTTCCTATGCTGCTGCCAAACTGGATGTTATACTGGTTCCAGTGTCTCCTCAGCACTGCTTGCACCTAACCAGAGAAACCACATGACACATATTGATGGGACTGCTTATGAATCATTATATATTTATATATATTGTATATTACCTGCATGTGTCTTTCGATCTAATTATTGGCATAAAACAATGAATCCATCAGTCCAGTGTTTAAGTGCAGCATTAATACTCATCTAAAGTGTGTGATTATCTTCTCAGTCTCAGAGTAAAAGCAATAAGTATATTTGCCAATATTATATTTGTTAAACCTTAACTGACCCCACATATGTGATAGTTAACAGGAATGTGTTGAAATGATTCTCAGGTGCCACAGAACAACACATCCTCTGTTTCTGTGCTTAACACTACAAAGACCAAGGCAGTCATTTTGACTGTTTTTTAATTTTGCAATGTAATAACTTACTACAGGACCATGACTTTTCCTAAATGTGTCTATATTTTATTATGGCATTGTTATTTTATCAAAAACACAAAACACAATAGAGTTTTGAGTATTTCATAGCGGTCATATTGACTGCATGCATTATAGCCAGTGTATCATTTCAGCATTCGCTACTTTTTCCCACTCTTGAAGGTAGAGGTGGGCAATATGGGAAAAATATCATATCACAATTTTTTTGGGGGCAAAATCACAATTTTATCACAATTTTTTTCATACTGATCTGACAAATTTGTAAGTTGCTGACCAGTTCAACCAAACTTATTTCCCTGTATAATGTTTTTAAATGCACAAAAACTGTGCTGACAAGTTTAATCTATTTGAAAAACATCTTTGTAGGTGGTCTGGAGGTCTCACCCAGAACATCTTTAGCAACAGAAATGTCTTTCCCTCAATTTGATCAATATTTATGAACAATTTGAAGGTTTTCCTCACCACTTTGAAATTCTGATTTAGTTATGTGTCCTCTTTTTATGTTCATCAGGAACATTTTCACGCAGTGATGCATTCATTTAAAAACATGTAGACTTTGAGTTCTTGTGTTTCTGTTCTATTTAGCCCTGCAGAGTTCCTACAGCTGGAATAAGTAACTTTTAAAAACTGAGAGAGAGCAGAAAACATAGACAGCAGTATTTCCTATCGTCTTTTGCCTGCTCCACTTTTCAGGAAATGTGTGCTCAAACAGGCCGTTTGGAGATTTTCCCTTCATGACATCACAAAGGGCAGTAACTCCTCCCCCAGGTGGGTGACACTCCCACAGTTAGTTGTTTGTTCTGCCCTCTGAGTCTGCCTTGTGACCGTAAACAATAGGGCATGAAGCGAGAAAGCACAAGCCCTTCCAGAAAGGGGCGTGGTCAGACACAGCTCATTTGCATTTAAAGCTACAGACACAGAAACAGCCTGTTCTGAGCAGGGCTGAAATAGGGTTTATAGGCATGATCAAATACAGGATCAGAGTGAATTTAGAACAAGCAAATTCAAAAACATGTTTTGGGGAGCTCTGAGACTTAAACTTGTTGAAAAGCAGGATAATATGTGACCTCTAAACAAAAAGTGTTATTTTATTTTTTGATCAAAGAACTACAGTGTACACATACCATTAATGTTGCCCCGTCCTATGTATGGGCTTAATGTAATTGTTTCTATAATGTTTAATGAGCTGGGGATTATAATCTATAAACTAGTGATAGAAGCTCCACTTTGTGGTTAAGTGTTTTCAAGGTGAAAATAGATAATTGAACAGCTCTTTCAAGACATTCACATCAGGGACAAACAACTCATTATGTATGCAGATCAATGTCTTCCATATTTTATAGCAATCAGTGCACAGTCGATGACTGTAAATAACCTTTAGTCCTGAGCAAAGCCCTGGGGGGATGAGTCTGTAATGACATCCCACCGATTAAACCCTCTGCTCAGAGGCTCATGCAGAAAACAGAGGGATGGTTAATCTCTGGTCACAAAGGGAAGTGTGGATGAGAATGTGTGCAGTATATGTGCATACAGATCTCATAGGAGAAAAGAGTATTAGGGTTCAATCTTACCTCTCCATTGAAAAAGCAGAAGATGGTGGCCACCAGCAGACCCTGAAATAAAAAAGAAAGAAAGATGATTTACGCCTAAATATCTTGTCTTAAGCATTAACTTTATGTTTTTTGTGGGACTATGAGGCACAAAACTAAAAGGTTTAACTAAATTCATTTAAGCAACCCATTGGGCCTGTTGCTCAAGAAGTTCTCCCTGCGCTGCCCATGCTGGGACAGCACAGGACAATCAGATAACACGTTCCCCAACATCCATTTCACCCCCCGTTCAGCTCAGATAATTCATGCCTTCCTTCCTGCTGTTCCTTCCAAACAAAACATCTCTGGCTAATTCTCAGCTTCTTCTGAAAGCTGAGAAAATAGCACCGCTTATGCAACAGTTCCTTCTAGAATCATAAATATGTTTGTCATCGCAGCAGAGGAACACAAACATGGAATGAGGTTTCACTACAAAAGAAATACATGTGACAAGGACAAAAGGACTATACACATATAGCACAGAAGCACTGCGGTGCATGTCACACACCGTTAACTTTAAATACCATTCTAAGAATATACTCTAAGCATGCATTCAAAAGTGTGACACAATGTACAGCTGTTTGTGTATTTAGCAAATGGAAACATTCTAAGAAGCTGGTAAAAATGACCCAGCAACGACTTAAATGAAAGAGTCGCAAGCAATAGTGACAACCTCACCTGGTAATGCATCAGTATGTGCATGATGTAGTCATAGATTTCCGAGGAGACCCGTCCCTCCGGCTTGTAGGGGAGCAGGACATACTGGATTCCCAGCAGGGGCACGAGGATGAGGGTGGCTCTCACAGCCTTCATGTAGAGACTGGACTCTGCTTGGTGGGTCACCTTCAGTTTGGTGATGAGCACTCGCACAATGTTTAGCAGGAAAAACAAATTGACCTAGGGGGGACAGCAGCAAAATCAACATAAATCAATACATCTGTGCATTGGTCTGGGTGTTAGCTTCTATCAGCTGGTTTCAAATAAAACATCTTAGATCCTTCCAAATATGTGGGGAATATAACTGTAAGAAGGTCCATTTCATAAGTATCTAGTATAAAGGTTAAAAATACTTGTAAACAAAACCTAGAATAAAACAGAAAAAAGAAAAAGTTGTTTGAGTGCTTTGCATGTACTGTGGGAGACTTAAGGGACCAGTTTTCTCTGAAGCATGTGTGCCTGTGCTGATTAGGTGAATTCCTAGAACAACATTGGCCAGGGGACCAGTGGGCTGACCCTCACAGAGGCAGATGCATTGATTCCACAAGATAAATATGATTATGCCTGCTATGAAACGGCTTCCAGCTCCGCCCCGCCACACAGCCTCCTCTCACAAGAACACAAAAGCAGACCGCCCCCCGTTCTTATTTTTTCTTCATTGCCAGATAAAACCAGTCAAATCACTTAGTTTATTCAGTGGATAAACATTGAAGTGATTTACTTTGGCATTGTTGATTGGCGTCAGAGAACTGATAGAAACGTCTTACCAGAAGTGCAGCACAGATGGGACCATGGATGATGTAGAGTAGAGATGTTTTGGCGCTTATCCAACAGCTACAGCAAAGAGGAGAGGACAGTTTGAATATGAAATCAAATCAACAGCATGGATTCTTTACAGGATGACGGACTAGTGCTGACAAGGCTGCCAAATAAGGGGGGGAAAGAGGAAAGCTTTCTGGGGACCAGCCGAATGGGGGACCCATGGAGGTAGGCAAAAAAAACATCCTAGACCATCCTGAATTTAAGGAATAATGACCACCTTAAACCTAAAAACTCACTATTCTTATTAAAGCAACGTTGTATTTATTGTTGCTTCAGTCAAATGTAGCCTGTTTGAAAATATAAACATTCTCTGCTTGAAACGGTATGAGCCTTTCTTTGTAATGTCCCAGTGAACTAAACCATTTGACAATGTCAGACTGTGTATAGCCTTGGGGGTAGCTGCACAACAGTTGGGATTCTCAGAAAAGAAAGGGGAAGAAAAGGAGACAATTTTACCCCAAGAATAACTTGTTGACCAACTCTTTAGCTCCAAAAGCTGATCTGAGCCAATCTGAGGAAGCCAGGAATAGTAGCCAGGAGGTGTTGATGTTATTAAATCATATCTGGGGTGGACCTATTCACTGAGCCTTTCAGGGGCCCAGCCATTTCTTTGGTCAGGCACAATGTTTCATGCAATCATTACCAAATATACAGAATAAATAACTGACCTCACCTTTGGCCAAATCACCTCCGTCTCACATTAAAGTACATTTTAAGCAGAATTTTGAACTTCAATACCAAAATCAAATTGATACCTGTTTTTATACCATGGCAACAAAAACAGAAGTCATAGGCACCAGATATTATGCCCTTTCTTGTTTTTAGTTACCCAGAGTCAACTGCTGAACGTTACCGAAACATTGACAATATTTTTTGTGTTAAGACGATGCTCTCTCTCTCTTATTTCTCTTTGGGTATCGTTTGCTGAAGAATATGACTGAAGATATGTCGCTTCAGTTTCCGTACTTTTGATGATTAAAATAATGGAGATTGTATCGTTTTAAAACGCATAGTATCAAAAAAGTATGAAGGTTTGACACCAGTATTTTTACAATATATTATTACAAGCCGTACCACTAACTTCTCATGCAGTTTCATGCTTACTTGTCGTTGTAGTAGTAGCTCCTCGCGATGGCATGAATGGAAGCCGGAATTAGAGGAAAGCCTGCAGAAACAAAAAATACAAGTTACAATTGCTGCAGGAAGGCAACAGAGCAACGTTACTGCAAGCAATGAAGTTGTAAATAAGCTGATGATTTACCCAGATAACCTAAACAGAGGATCAGCTTGAAATGGATGCATTGAAAATGTCTTTAATAATGTTCAACGATGCACAGGGAAAACGTGCACAGTTAGTCAAAGAAGAGCAATAACTGACCGCAACTTAACATGAAAAAAAAAATAAATCACAGAAGAGAGAGTGACTGCCAGAGATGCATCACTTCATAGTGACTTACCCCAGCCTAAGAGATAGTACCACATCAGGTGCTGCTTCTCTGCAAACACAGCCACCACAATGAGGGTGTGCAGGTATATTCCCTCACACAGCATCCAGAAGTAATTACAACCAAACAGGTACAGATGGATGAACTGGGACACTTTACAGCTGGTCTGAGAAAGAAAAACACAGAATGTTTCATTCTTTTTAACTTCTGTTACTTCCCTGGGAGGTGCACTTCTTTGTTAGCTATTGTGAAATGAATACATTTATTTAACTAAATTGCATGAAATCCTGATGCCCAAAGTACAGCTAAGCAGCTCTTGTCTGATTATCTTTAAACACTAGGATGACAAAAGGAACAAAAAGAAATCTACAACAAATGCATAAACATTCATTTTATGATTTAAAAAAAAGAATATATGAATAAATCCATTTAACTCACTGGGTTCCTCTGCACCAGCTCTGTGTTGTTTGCCACGGCTGTCAACCAAATAATGGTGATCACAGAGTTCAGAACGAAAGAAAAGAAGAGGTTTTTGTGAAGCGTGATCCTTTGGCAACTTAAACTCCTGCAAGAAGAGAAGGAGGACATCATTAACCTCTCCAGAAGATAAGAACTGTCTAAAAGGCAGGCTAAGATGACGTTTCGTGACTCACTTGAAATGGAAGAATATTCCCAGTGAGACTAAGAGAGATGTTAGAGACAGTCCATGTCCTATGAGAGCCAAGTAGAAAAGATTCATCGCAGTCTGGAAGAAAATAAGGAGACATATTAGGTCATCAGGACAACCTGTTGACTACTCAACATCTCCTTATAAGACTAACATACCAATGGAGTGAAACATAAATCTTATAATACTCAAACAGTTTCTAAGGATAACAATTCAATAATTTAAGATGTGTATTTTAAGTTTGTGTAATTCTTTACAGAAAATGTGTGACACAAGACAAACGGTTGGGTTTGTTATATTTGGATTGATTTGAAGTGAGAGGGTCGGATTACAGCAAAGATAAATCTCAACAGGGTGCTGCAAGACCCCAACGCAAAACTGACAAGCTTGTTGCTAAACTGATAAATAATTAGATTTAAAATATCTATTGGGATGTAAGTTTATTGCATATTGCAAGTGATTGCTTTTCTCCTGCTGAAAGATTTGGTTGGTGTTCTTCACACTCCATTAATAGTAATGGCAGCCATCAGCATGCAAGCCAACTTCACTGTGATAGCTCACAGTTTAGAATTGTTTCCTTAACAAATTGAAGGTGAACATGCTGGTATTAATGACTGCACATCTGCATTCAGTTGTTTGTGACTCTAAACTTTCACACGATTGTTCCCTGGTATGGAACCAATAGTTATACGAGACGGCTTTAAGCGCCTACTTGAGCCATCGAAACCTCTATAGCCTCTATTCTCCCAGCACTGGAGAGCCCTTAGCATTGTGAATACACATACATTTTCTAAACATCCGTGAAAGGTTAGTGCTAAAAATAGCCTTCATTTATATTCTGCATGCATTGGATGCAAAGTTACCAAGTCACCTACCACTCTGCCTTCATTAGTGTGTTCATTGCAGCGAGTGTAGTTGGTCCAAGTCCGGTTGCTCTCTGGATGCAGAAACCAGTGACCGTTGTCAGAGCAAATCTTTGTCACCATCTCTGCACAGCGAAACAATACACAAAGGTTAGGATTTAGCAGGTTCCAATTGAACTGTCAGCTTTAAAGTACTTCAGTGATTTCACAGAAACATTTTTAGGATGTATTATTTCCAGCAAATCAGGTGGAAACACTAGGGGGTACGTATGTGACACAAACATTTCAAAGTGAAAATGAAGATGCTGTATGACACACACACAACCTGAAAGTGAAAGTAGAGATTCATTTGTAGTTCCCCCCAAAGCCCAATAAAGTCCTAATCCTGTTCTGAAACTCCATGAAAGAAACAAACACATCAATAAACATGGAACCTCGGCAAGCAGTCATAAGAGGGACTGAAACTACTTCTGTATCTGCTCATCATCTTAATGGATGTGCTGTTCTACGGTTTTCACTCAGAGTTCTCTAGAAATAATTAACAGTTTTTTTTAAAGGCATCCATACAGTACATAAACATCACTACTACTAGACAACGAATACATGTATTTGTAATTAACAGGAGCTTAGCAGCTGTCTGTTGATGATGATGGTTGTGGCTGTGAATATCTACTTTTAATTTGGATTATGGGAATTGCAGGACTCACAGTTTTTGTATCTTTGCCCAAAGACGATGTCAGAATAACCCTCCCTTACCTGCTTCAAGTTTAACAATGATGGATAATACTTAGGTAGATGTTTGGGTACTAACTTAAGATCCAACCAAACCAAGCTTGGTGCAAGTGACTCTTTAGAGCTTCTGTAAGTCACAGGTCTTACCTGAAGGATCAAAATCCTGAAAGTAGTCCGGGCAGTGCTGCTCTGATGTAAAACCCGACCTGGTGTCGTCCCAACACAGCCAGCCATCCCAAGTGCGATTACACATCGCCTCTGAAAGCACAGAAAAGGTGGAAACGTGCTCAGATGAATCGAATGTGGTTATCTTGTATGGACAATCTTAGATGACCCCTGAATACATCAAACCAAGCCCAGCATGACAGTTAACAAGTCACCTTCTCTGCTGTTGGTATTGTCTTTCATAATCTTCTGATAGCACTCAAACTGAGCTGTCACTATCCTGTTCCTGGTGAGTCCCATGTCATGATACACGTTGGTGGGATGCTGCTGTTGGGTTTCATTTGCGTCCATGCTTGCCTTCACGAAGATCTGCAAAGAAGAGAGAGATGCAGAGATGCAGCTATTTCCGATAACAAGTTGAAAAACAGAGACCATTTTTTGAGTGAGTTTATACTCAATCAGGAGGTTTTGAAGTAAGACGGTCATTAAAGGATTCTTAGAAAGCCAGGAACTGGATTAAAACATTATTGCAATTAATCTTCATGGAAAGTATGACATCTATGCAGAAATGCTGCCAAACAGATATGTCCAATTTACTACACTGCACACAGCACCCTGAAGCAGCTTCCTGAAGCAGCTTCTTGAAGCTCCAAAGAATCTCCAACATAAACTGTTGTAATCACTTCATGATTAATGAGTCAAATTAAGTCAATGCTGAACAATAAACTCAAAAACTAATGGAAAACTATTCTCCAAAATTAGGATTCGAAAGAAACCAACAGGTTTCTTCTACCAAATACAGACAAACCAACCTTTGTCAGATTACACAGCAGTACAAGCACCACCATCCAGCTCCGTCCGATGCTCTCCATCTTCCTTTTGGCCATATCCAAGCAGTTTGATCATCCACCAACAGCAGATCTGGAAGAGAGGATTAACAATTAGCCCCGCCATTAAACTGCAATAAAAGCCCCTCATAAAGGCCACTTCACAACCCTCCATATCTCCCCTCTGCTGATAAATGTTTCCTTTGTCTCATTAATCTTCTGAAATGTTGCTGCTGTAACATTTGCCATGACCGTGAATGAAGCTGTAAGCAGGCGGTATGAATCCGAAACCTGGGGCCATCAGTGCACATCATTTATTTGCGTCATCTTATACTGATTATTAGATCATTCTAAGAGGAGGGAGATCAAAAACTCTAAATCTTGTCACAGCGCTAAAGTAAACTAAGGTGACCTTTAGTCTGCAGGACTTTCTGGTTCCATCTCAGCCTTGACATTTAGAAAGAAGGCCATGTGTGATTTCATGCAGTGGACAGCACGATGAATGGCAGGTGGACTACCGCGGAGTCTGGTCACTATGGCAACTACTGAAATGCCGTGTGACTTCTCAAAGACAGTGTCTGTCTGATTAGTACAGGCTTCAGTGTCAAGAAAGTGTGAAAACAAATTCCTTTTTTTAGCTGTGGCTGAGGGAGTAAACTGTGACATTCATTTGAGCTGTCTCTCCGCATGGAAATGTTAGGCCAACACAAAATATACAATTGAAGGAATCCTTCAAAGATGTCACACTTAAGCTCCATTCTCTCAGTCTATAACAAACTGCACTGTTTCCCCTCCTTCCCTACCATCCTAACAAAACCCCCACAGATCTCAGTAAACTTCTGTTTCTTGGATCAAACACCTGAGACGTATAATCTCTCAGCACCACCGTCTGTTGATTCAGTCAAATCTACTTAGCTCTCTATCATGTGACCGCATTTTGAATCGCTCAGTGGATCCATTGCACATTTGTCATTTAAAAGGTGAAGCTGGTGTTTCATCAGAGCAGAAATTCAGAGAGTTTTTCGCGGCAAGGCTTCAGGCCGCTGGGATTTCATGTCACTGCTGCTGCTGCTGCTGCTGCTGCTGCATAGTCAATGAGTCGAAATGGAAATGGAGACACATCCTCCAGGTTGTACCGATCTGCTCTGCAAAATTGTGGGTGAGCTAATGTGTGGTTAGCTTAAGCCTGCCTGCTACAGCTAGCGATCAACTTTTTAAAGAGTTTAAGGTCTGAAACTGTTCTGGTTCTTTTTCCCCTGGATTATGGAGCCTCTGTTTTTTCTGCCAGCTAAGTAAGCCTGTTTTCTTCTTGGCTGTTGTTTGTAGACAATAGAAGTGCCTTTCTACTTGCCTCAAGCAATCTGTATCCTGCTTTCTTATTGTTGTTTTTGCCATAAATGTATCACAGCTTGACCTGAGAGTTCCATACTGTCAAGATAACAAGATACCCTATAGCAGGCTAATAAAAGAAAGGCTCTTTAGGCAGCGTTGCTTTAACTGTGAACCTGTATACCGAGCATTCTTTCTCTTTCTTAGCAGCAGAGGAACATAAAGTAACCAAAAACGATAAGAAAAAAGAAGGAAGGACCTGAGGATGACATAAATGTAGGAACACAGTATTCAGGAGAGGATTACACCTCATTCAGAAGTGACTGTTTATAAGGTGTCTCATATCTCAAAGGAACCGGGTCATGCGTGTATTTGCATCATCCAAAGTCTAATTAAATTTAGTGGAATGGAACGGCTTAACGTGCACTGCAAAGGGAAAATGTTAAAAGGCACTTACGAGGCAAGCATTCAGAAGGAGCGGTGACTAAAGCATATAATATTTGAAGCTTGTACACGTAGAAGTATATGGAAGTAGATGTGATTTTAGGTGCAGCGTTAAATGTTATCTAATAATTCGTAACCAGTTAGCTTTCTGACAAAATGGAAAGGTCATCTTTGACCCTGCAATTGGTGGCCACTGTGGATAGCAATTTTCAAACAGTTCTTAAGCACTTAATAGATCATCTGCTTGTAAAAGACGAATGGAAACTCTGTTATGTTGTGAGGATTGTAGCCCCCAATGTATGTGCAAGTATAGAAGCACTGGTGTAAGCATTTATGCACATCCTTCATATGGTTCTTGCTTTTTGAACACTTTATGTATTTAGTTCTGTTTTTAGAATCTAGTTATTCAACAAAAAATATTGTTGTAAAAGAAAACAGGGATATTGTGAGAAAAAGGTCACAAAAATTGCTTCATTTGCTGTAGACATAATGCACTGTGTGCTCACTTTAGCTGCACAGCTGTTTGTCTGTCAAATCTTTTCAATCATCCTCTAAATGAAGAACTGAGAAAAAAAAAAAGAGAAACCGAGGGGTGTATCTATGCAAGTTGTTGTTGGTGCTGCAGAGTGAACAGGATGCAATCAAAAATGACATCATGAAATTGTTTTTTATTAGTTCTGTCAAGGAGCTCTATGTGCCTTTGAATCTAAAGTATGAAGATCAGGGGGGAAATTTTTAATATCCCAAGAAAAAAAGTCTGCCTTTTTTTTAAAGTAGATTATGTAAATATGGTTAATATACTCCTAGAGGCACACACTGCAAAAGACTGACTGGATCAGAATGGATAAGATTTGACCTATAAAATGGTGCCCTGAATACATGGGACCTGCATTTAAAAAAAAAAAAAAAAAGGCCAATAATGTGGGCTACCATCAGAATTCTCTACTGTGTTTTATTTTGAAATTGACCGAATGCTCTGAGCGCTCCCTTGTCTGACTTCTTGTTTCAGTCGATCTACTCTGTTCAGCTTGACACATGCCTGCAATGGGCTACTTAGAAACTAGAATCGGCTCTTATTAGAAACAGAGTGGAGCGAAGTGGAGCGAAGTGGAGTGAAGTGGCGCTGCTGGCACGCTTCAGAGACCGACCGCTGCGCGTGCTAGATAGGGAGCAATTTGCTAATGGAATGCAGCATTCAGGGACTATATTATGAAAATTGCGGGTCAGATAAAAAAAATATGAAGTTGATGAAGGCTTTGTTGTGATAATACACAGCCCTTGCTCTCTTAGACACATGTTGTTTCCCTGGAAATGAATGTCCAACACGGGTAAAACGTGCAGAACAGAAGACATTTTTTGTAATTGCCCATCAACTTGATATGAATTGTTTTGTGCAGGCCTACTTCCAAAGCTACTAATTGTGCACAAGCTGCAGCTTCATAAGCTTTGCCGAAGCCCTGAATACCCATTGTTTTGGGTGCCAAAACAAATCACTTACAAAACTGTAGTTCAGTCAAAACACAGACAAAGTGGACGCGGGGGGTGGGCATCAGTCTGTTCATTGCTGATAGAGATTTGACCCGGCAGATCCCTAACATGTGTCATCCAGTGTGCTCACAGTTAAAACGGCATCACACTGGGGAGGGGGGAGGAGGGGGAGGGGGTGGGTGCATACTGAAAGTGGGGTTGTAAAACATTATGGCGATGTGCAAATTAGAAACAGCTGGAGAAAGATCAGCTGCTCTGTCACATATGCAAAATGCGCACACACACACACACACACACACACACACACACACACACACACACACACACACACACACACACACACACACACACACACACACACACACACACACACACACACACACACACACACACACACACACACACACACACACACACACACACACAGTGCTCTGTTGCCAAGTCCCCCAGCTGTTTCTTGGCAAAGGCTGTTTGTCATACATCAGCAGTCCGCTACACACAGAGTATATCTTGTCTTCTAGAAGAAGGACCTAGTTACAAATTTCCATCCCAATAGCTGCTTGAATCCTGCTCAAATTGAGTTGTGTCGTCTCGCTTTGTTTCTTGTCTTTACATGAGGAACAATGGAGTTACATTTAACTCATCTTAAACCTAGTGGTGAAGAAAACACCCTGACCCATCTGTCATGGTGGGGATTTCCAGCATGACCTTGTCATCACTTCCTCCTTTGTTTATGATGGAACTGTCACTCTTACTGTCAGTGTAGAGCACAAATACACATGTAGATAAACAGCTTGGACATAATTGTTGGTATCAAACAAGAGCAGAACAGTGTCTTTGAAAGAGCGATAAAGAATGGGAGAACGTTAGTCAGAGATACTCTCACAGTCTTCTTTTCTCTTGAAATCATGTTTGGAATAGTTGTATTAGTTGACTCTCTGCCTTACATTAGAGAAGTGGTTTCAATTATCTGTGTCCTAAAGCAACCTGTTCTCAATGTTGCCAGCACTTATTGTGAATGTGCATATAGACACAACACTAAGTCCCAGAAAAGCAAGCCGTTGGATGTCCTAGTCCAACCTTAACATATTTTTGTAAAGTTTTAAAACAACGGAATAATATTTATTTTACCTCAGAGCTGCATTAAAATACTTTTTGGCTACTCAGAGGTGGAAGAACTCCAAAACTAGCTGACCGACATACAGACAGGATGTATCATGTTGCTATAAAATGTAGTAACTTACTGTATGTTTGCTTCACTCCTCATTTTGATACTCATGTTTCTCTGCCACCTGTTTGTTACTCTCTTCTAGCCCTTACTTTTGTATTACTTGTGTCTTCTTAATTCTTCAGCACTTTGAGATGTGTTTTAAAGAAACATGCGCTACAAATGAAATGTAAATTTTTTTTACCAGTTTTGCTAACAGTAGACTTCAGTCATGTTGACATTTTGCATGTTCAATGTTTGCATGCAATGGGTTTAAAAAAAGGTTAACAGGAGATATTTTACATAGATATTCAGAACGATTAAAAAAAAAACATTATTACTTTATGAACTATTGGCTTATTGAAAGGTTCTTGTCTTTAAGATAAAAGTTGCAGGAAATGGAATACATTTAAAGCTATTTTCAGTGACTTTGGAGACATTGTATAGACTGATGGTTTTTCCTTTATAGAATATGCGGTCATGCTGCATTTACTGCCACTTTTAAATGCACATACATGACTTCTCTTATCTGTGATACGTTCCTGTTTTGAAGTTTAAAAAGTAGAAATGTTGCTGTTAAAATCTTAGAAAAACAAAACACTATTTGTTGCATGTATTGCACACAG